TAAGTCACTTTACCGTAATGAAAAGTGGTGATTTTTTAATGTTTATACGAAATTATTTATACTGAGAAAAATATTAGTATCCTGAGATAACAAATACAAGTAAATCTCCTCGAAAGTTAGCATCCATATTTTTAAACGTGTTAAAACGCAAACCCTTAAATATATCGACTTAAAAACAAAGAGATTTTGTGAACACTATCTGGGACGAAGGCAACTGCGATAGAATAGACGACAACTAAATCCTTTACGAGGATGAACAAACTTTAAAGTCAATTTTCTCGAAAACGGAGTCCCGGATAAAAAAATGTTATAACAAATTTGTTTCTTATTTTTTCATGTAGAATCATCCTCTGCACGGTTGTACTACGAATTTTAGCCTACTCTGTATAACGTAATAATGTAAATATTAAAATAGCTAGCTGTGCTTTTCTCGATAGCACATGATCGACCAACGATTAATTAAACTCCCCTTATGTTAATCTCTTAAATCTCTTCTTCTCAGCTACCTAAAACGGCTGTCAGGAAGACTTCCCGAAGTTTAACGGAAGTCCTGAACCACGTCGGAGCTCGTTTAGTGGGACTCGAATGATACTCAACGCCTTAATCAAGCAGATTGTTACAATTTCTTTGTTTCTTTAATAAATCGTTTGTTTTCCATAAAAACTAACTCGATGCATTCTATCCGCGCTTGAAGAATTCTTACGAATTTGGTGAATGAAACCCTTGCGACAGTCGCATAAATATATTATTTATTATTCGATCAATATACGTACAACGTCACGAGCTTTACGCCACTTTGCACTTCGATGACTTCGTAAACTGTTCCTCGTCGCGACTATATTCGCTTTAATAGTCAGCAGCTTCTATCAAACGGTGCTCGGTACCGCGGTTTTTATTAGAGAAATATTACAATAGGCGACACGTGCTGCTAAATTACCAACTACAGTACGATGGTGTACAGGATCAAATAAATACGCTAGAAAACGATCGACGCGTCCGTGATTTTTTAAAGCTTGGCGAATGACATTCTCGACGACTGTCGGTCCCACGGTTGCGTCAACTCGATCCTAAAATGATAGACATACTTGCTCGATAAACATACTTCACGTTCGCACGGCCAGACGTACTAACGAATCGGGAACACTCGCTAGAAAAATGAACGTTACACGCCGGGCCGGTCGGAAAGCAATTTTGGTATACGCAGTGCTTGATAGAAAGACTGCGAATGTTCATGCTCTGCTCCTGCCGCTTCTATTGCACTTTTACAATGTCAAAGTGTTTCCTGAAGAGAACAACTTTTTTCTAAACTTTTAGCTTCTGTTCGCTTTCCAGGAATATGGTAATATAGGAGATCGTATCGCACGTTGAATTGACGAATTCTACTTTAATTATCAGTTCTTTTAAGTGGGTTGAATACTGCGAAACCTGAATACTGCAATATGAACCTTGAATAATACGATACTTGAATTAGATGAAAATTTGTACGCGATCAATAATTGTACGGGCCTTCAAATAATACGATGCCTCAATTGCACTCTTTTTAAAGTTCCCTTCTTAACAATTAATTGCACTGTTTCCAAAGCCTCTTTTTTAACAATTCCGAGAAAAATTATTCTTTGAGAATTAGGATCATCTCATTCGTATGAATTCTTATAATGTGACACGATCTTGAATAACACGTAACCAATTAACTGTATTATTCGAGAATCATCCGTATTCAATTAAGAATCACATCTTGCAACATAAACAGAAAGAAAACAAAGATTGCGCAGAATCTAAAAAGAGGCAGTGGATCAGTCTTTATCCTGATGACCGTACAAGGACTGACAAATTTCCTAGAAATTCGCACAAACGTTCGCAGTCCCGGTAACGTAACGCAGTAAATAAAACATGCAATGATAACATAAAAGACCGCATCCTATGATACGAGAACAATTTCAATAGCGCTTTTTTCACTTCCGCCTCGCGTCCCTTTTTCTCCGCAGAGAAAGGTAGCCGCGGTGATTACTATTCCAAGGAGTCAGTGTTCCTCGAGCAGCCGAGGAGGAATCATCATTTATCAAAGCTAACGAGCCGTCGGACTAATGGGCCGGCTCGCGTATCGCTCGAGCTGCACTCGTCGATCATTTCAACCCGCTTCCTGGTTGATAGTCTGCGTTGCCAGGGTCCACTGCGTCGAGGACCGAGACAACGATCGTCTTGTTCACCGGTTGTTCAATCGAATGTCCCTAACGGCAGGGTCGCACTTGGGTCTTCTGAGACACTTCTACGCAGACATGCTCCTACTCGTAAACAGACATTAGTTCAAACGTCTTTTTCGATATTCTTGGATGCTACAATTTTTACGAAAGCTGGCATTCTTGTCTTGTTTCGCTCTGACAAGGAAGAGACAAGGATCTTCGTTTTCTCAAAGTTTTTCAACCATAAATAATAGCTACAGTCTGGACAGCCTCATTGGATTTTTTCAGGTCGCAAAATTTTCGAAGAACCTAGACACTTTTTTAGATTATATCCAAACTTCTCCTTGATATTGGATAAACGAAATGAACTCTATACAATTTCCTAAGTCTTAGAGAAACAAGCAATAGAAATAATACTAATGATTCCTAGAGATCGTCATAGTTTTTAGACAATCTTTCATTCAATACTTCATCAATACTAGATCAGGAGAACTACAAGGAAGCAACTAGTGTCTGCAATAGATCTAACAAAGCTCTACAGATTTTGCTAGGTTCTATTTAATCTTGTATTCAATTCTTTGTTTCTTCTTTCTCTCAAATATCATAACGGAGAAACAAACATACAAAATAATCTAAACGATTCCTACAAGTCTTTTTAGTTCCTAACCAATCCGTAAGACAATTCTTTGAGTCATCCTAAATTATCACAACAGACATATATCCAAGAAAGATAAACCTAATGACCTCTATAAAAGTTCTTAGTTCCCGACCAATCTTGAATTCAATCGTTTGTTACGTTCTGGAGAATCATGAAGGACATTCGAAGAAGAAAGCCAATCGTAATGACCTCTATGGATCAGCTTGATTTCTAATCAATCTTACAGTTGTTTGCTTCTTCCTGAAGGACCATAAAGGTAATATAAATATCAAAGACAGTCTCCTATTTCACCCTTAAGATACGACAATCTAAAAACAGTTTTAAAGACCTCGACGGACCTTCATACCCAAAACTTCCGAACAAGGCAGCCCTGCCCAAAGGACAACCCGATTCTCCAACCGAGGAAGAATCTCGTCAAGGAAACAGAGAGACTTTACAAGGGTCCAGATCTCGCGAGGATGGTACGATCAGAACCTTCTTCGAACGGCGAAAAAGAAGATCGTGATCGTTCCGAATAGCCTATCCGAATGGACCTTAGACGCCGGTTTCGTCTAAGATCCATCGAAAATTCTAGGTGTTCGTAGTGTCGTAGCTCTTGTACGTGTGGGAAGACCTCTTGTGCCTAACTGTGCAGAAGAGGATCATACTGGCCACCTGGCCGAACAGCTGGAGGAACGCGACTACCAAACCAACGGTACCGACCACGTGGAGCCTGGTCACCAGCCACATTTGAATAGCAGACACACAGCCCTTCTTGTGCCAGAGCTCCTTGTTCAGACCATTCGAGTCAGCACGACCGCAGTATCGTTTTGGCTGTATGCAACAGGAGTCGGGAACACGGTTTTCCTTTGGCCATGCGTCGATCTGGAACCAGTCCGTGTAATCCTGCACGCCGCAACACTGGAACTGGAAGAGGTGTTGGAGAGTTAGCTACCTTCTATGCAAGATATTGTGGACTTGGCTGCATCGTTGTGTCACCAATCATGTGACCACGATTCATTTGCATACCAGGCCGATCAAAGTTGAGCTCTTAACCATTTAGAGTGGATTTTATCCTGAATATATTGCATTTATGGATATACTAAGTTGCAATAGTTGCAAGTTACACTATTATTTTCTTGATATTGGATCGAACAATTGAGATTCTTCGAGAAGCAAAGTGAATTAGTTTGCTAGGTGACGAGCAAACGATTTTGGAAGAAATGATAATTAATCAGTATTATGAAAGATATAGTGAAGGATGACAATGAAATATATAATGTAGGATAAAGTAAAAAGGATAGTGAAGGTTCAAGTGAAAAGTATACCAAAGATTTCGTCGAAATTGATTAACATTGCAATGAGCTACAGAGAATAAAAAATCCCATTGCAAAAAGTATCAAAAGTCGTATGAACAAGTTTTTGATGTCTGTAGATGAATAACAATTTCCGTTAGCATTGAAACTATTTCGTTAAAAAAACCAAGTTGTTTGCATTATTATGCACCCGTTACTGGTTATGGAAAATATTCTTGTCAGCGTAAATGCAATAATAACTTTGACCTTGATCTGTTGAACTGTTGTACATTTTCAGTATTTTATACATTACATTTCACCATTAGCATTTTAATATTTCATTTTGCTTCCTAACCATCTTTTCGGAAATCATGCAGAGAAAAAGTGAAACATCAATACAAATAACCACATGTGTTTCAATGTTTTATCATATTTAGCTACAAACGAAGACAAAATTTAAATAATAAGAAAGCAATATTTTATTTTATTTAGCTAGAGAGACAGACACATTTTAAATAATGAGAAAACAATATTTGATTTTATTTAGCTAGACAGGCAGACAATTTAAGTAATAGTAAAACAATGTTTAGTTTTATTTTATAAAACTAACCAAATTATCCGATTAAATATAAAAATTAATATTTCAATTTGAGAATGCAATAAAATATTATCCCAAGTAATTCATGAAGGAAATATTGGAAACATAGTGCAAGGAAGCAATGAGTGGCGCTCGTAGATTGATTCATGTTGCAGTATGTCGTTCGCCGGATTAAATGCACTTGTGCAGCCGGAGATCGAGTGAATGCACAGTTCCTCCAATTACGCAAGCATCTCGATTTAATGCCGGCTATGTATTTGTAATTTATTGTCGCGTGTGCTTTCGTTTACCGCCATTCCCAATCATGACCACATTATTCAGGATGTAACGCAATACTGTCATCAAGCCGCCTATGTATTTTTACATCCAATCAATACTCTATTGCAGTTCGCTTAATAAGCACCTTTTAAATAGGTGCCTGACAGAAACCTTGAAACCATGATATGCTAATTGCACAAAAGTACAGAGTAAAATTTCAAGGATTAAACTTTTAATTACTTAAAACTTGTTAGCGATCGAAATTCAACGTTTCGGTCGATTTTTGCGTTAAATTTCACGAAGACCAGATGGTATTAATTTAATTGTATTAATCTGGATGTTAAATGTGTACAGTTCATTTAGTAGTAAGATTGTGTAATAACATTACAGAAAGATTTAAAAGTATTCCTATATTATTTTCTAACAATTGGTTGGTAGAATCTAACTTCACTTTAACCCAGCATTTCAAATATATTTAGCTATTCAATGCCTGGTAATTAATTTATGTAAAAGGCAGTATATGAATTGGTCGCAATTAAAAGATCGATCGCTCCAACTAAAATAACTTTTAACAATTTTTTCCCAAAACTGTACAATTGTACAGTTGTGCAGTTTGTACAATTTTGAATGCAAACAAGTTTTGTTTCGCATAAAAATCTGCAGTTCATCGATAAGTAATGGGTAAATGAATCTACAATTGCTAGTTACCTCCGTCTGTATGCGGGCCCAAACATACGGAATGGATCCTGGCTCCTTAGTGTGGTTGTAGTGTTTCTCGATCCCGAAGAGAAGCTCCTGCTTCAAATTATGGGCTAGGTGAGCCCTGAAGGTGAAGGCTAGAGTACCCAGCATGAACTCAGCCAGGAACATCAGCATCACCAATCCGAAATACTATATCAGAATAAGAAAAAAAAGATATATATTTCTGTGTATACGCAACTTTACAGTTACTTATTACAGGCACAGCATTTCTCTAAAATCTAGGATCTTTTGAAAATCCTAAGAAATTCTCGTACAAGTCTCTCTAAAACTATTTAGATCCTCGAGATAAAGAATTGTCATTACGAAACCAATTGCAGATGCGTCGAAAAATGTTAAGTTAGAAAGCATGCACGACAATTAATTCCAGCAATTTGCAACGACTTTAAAATATTTTAGATCAAGTCAATATCCACCCAGACAAAACGAAATGTTTCTGTAATTACAGATTTTGTCCCAAAAGAACTACAACCCCTGACGAAAATTCTTCGAATACTTTTTAAAATGCAATAACCTTTTCAAAACTCGACTAAATGATTTGAATTTTTTGATGATATTAGAAAAACTAGTTTACTGTACAATAACTAACATACATCTTCTTAATTTTGCTATTACTCGGAATGACAGAAAAAATAAAAGTCTCCCGCTTGGAACGAAAATTTAATAAATGCGTTTTGCAGATCTCGGTAACTTACAAGCATAATGAGAATTTTATCAAGAACTACGGCCACTAGAAGACGTAAAAATTACCTGTCTCTGGTTGAAATCCGTACAGAACTGCGATTTTCTCGAACTTTAATTGTTTGTAACTCATAACAATATGTCAACCATGAAGCTATTCCGAAATAAGAACACGACGCGACGTTTCTTTAATTTCTCGAGAATCCAGGTGCAATAATCGCAATTATCATCGACACCGGCGAACCTAAACCCAGCGTGAAGGTGAACCTGTCACAGAACGGAAGGGAACCCAACGCTACGAACCGTGATCAGCATGCATCTAGATTGAAACCAGGCACCGCAGCATCCGAAGAAGGCGATCACGAAGGTCACGCTACCAGCGGCTAACAGTAGAGAATCAGCTGACGCGAAACTGTAATACGGCATCAGGGTCATGTAGCCGGAGTACGCCAGTCGGAGCCAGAGGCCCGCACCCAAAATTCCGCAAGCGCATAGCTGCAACAGAAAAATTGCAAGGGTCAGGAAACGTCACACAGTTGTCCTTTTCGTTGAAAAGCTGGTCAAAATACTCATTTTCCAAGTATAAAACAGACGTATGCTAATATGGTGTTTTTGTTGTACATATTTCAATGTAATAAATTCCGCTTGAAATTTTAAAATTTTTACGAAATATAGAGACCTCAAAAGATGAAGTTTGAACTTCAAACGCCTTGCAATTTGTGACGCGTTTACAGTGTCAGGAGTACTTCCTATCTAAAAAATACTAGACACTAGTTTTTCATTAAATGCATGTTACAATTATCAGCTCTGCACTTAAAAAGCAAAATAACATTCAATTTATTCATGTAATTCTCCCTTCAGTATGCTGCAAAATTTTATTTATATATCGATAAAAAGTTAGAGAAATAGTTGTGGTTTTTGCGAAACTTTACACCGAGACAAGTTTGTTCATGTAGAAGAAAATATCAAGAACGATATCCAAGCAAGAAAACTTACAAAAATTTGCGGTTTTAGAAAATATTCAAATTTTGAAGTGAATCGATACACCCTCTTCTGTTTTATTAAAAACTTGAAAAATAATATAAAACACTTTATTTCAATGCAATAAATAATAAACATATTATTAAAAAAGTTAGAAAATGTCTTTTTCTTTATAAAATTAGTACCATTTCTGAGATATTATTACCACTATGATTATTATATTTTATAATTTACGAATTTTGATATGTATTATTGTATATACAGCAGTAGTTCGCAATTGAATTATGTACTTATAGAATTACTTATTATATACATATAAAACTACGTGCTGGTATAACGGTATAACTAAAAATATGCTCGACAGCAGTTCAGATAATAAAGGTTCAATATATGAGGTAGAACCTTAATTTGTTCGTATAAAGAAGGAGCACATAAACGAGATTCTATTATGCATTATTATATGTATACATACATTGTAGCATCGGTTTCGCGTTATGCGTTGAAAGCATTCCTGAGAATGCAAGTGTTGATTATGTGATGTATGATTGAACGAGGGAAGAATTTAAAGAACATAAGATAGAAGAAGACGGCAGTAAATAAATCACATTGAATAAGGAAATGGCGCTTCATTTGACTTCATTTTATTTAGAGCCTACGATTGTTATTTAGTACAAAAATATAAAATTCCTGAACGTTTTCGATTTAATTTGATTTTCTTCAAAATACATGAATTCATATTTTTTTTAAATGCTACACTTGATAGGAATCAGAAGGATGAGAAAATCTTAACAACTATAAGTTTCGAAGCATTAAATTTATCATTTCAATTTACGTATTTTACGTTAAAATATCATTTATAATGAAAATCAGAAAAATATTACTTTTTACAACAGTTAACTTAAAAAGCATGTTTATTTTGTTGCCAATTGGATCATCCTTTTAAAAGTTTAAAATTGTGACTACAGATTTAAATTTAGTTCATATGAAGTTATGAATTGTGGCTGGCGTTACGGCGAAAATGACAACTGTGCGCCGTGGCCTAGAACCGGTCGACCATGCTGCTCGTTTCAGCGTGACGGTCGACGATGATCGACTACATTTAGAGTCAGTTTTGACTTTTGGCTGCGCAATCGGTTGAAGGGCACGGCAAACATCTTGCTTTCTTGCTGGCTTGCGAAATGTTCGCGAATTACATTGCAGGTAGTTATGATTGCAGTTTTCGATGGTGAGCTGCGACCTCGTTTAACACTTCAGACTGTCACATAACGCATACGTGTTATTAATAATACGTTATTATTAATAATACGTTATTATTTATAATACGTTATTATGATCCACAAAACGTAAAGATATTGAAAAAGTCATTCATGTCATATAACTTAACATCTCAATTTTAATTTGATTAACCCTAGCATGTTTAAGGGAGAGTCAAAAAATGTTCACAGAATGTTCTATTATAAATATTTTATATTTTATGTTCGCAGACATTTAAATGTATTATTTAACACTATTGTATAAATAAATATATCTTGAACAGAAACGATAATATTCATAACACTTTTTCTTACATGAATACAAAATATAACAAATATAATATATTCGCATTTTATGAAATTTTTGAGGTTCTTGATGTTTCAGTCAAAGCGTTAACACGTTAAGTGGCAAAAAACAACCCCAAAAATTTCAACAAAATCTGAATAATTTGATTAATAAAACTCAGACTAGACAGTTATAATTTATCATGACGGCTGACATTTTAACTCTTTTGCATCTTAAAAATCCTAGAAAAATTCAGTTTGTTCAAATGCATCACAATAAAAATGAAGTTTGAGGACCAGTAAAAAATATCATCCATGTGTGACCGCCGTGTTAATTGAAATGTATACGAAAGTCTGTGAGATTGTATCTGGAAAGGAAGAAAATAACTATGCAATCTGGTGAATTGCTTCTTTACTCTTGTTTGTAGAATCTTTAAGATCTTGCTATAGATTGTACATTAAATTATATAGATGCAAGTAAATTATAACATGATGTATAATTTGATGTATAATTTTTTAACTTTTCCGGCCTAATTTTAAGAATTTAGATGCCTAATGTAAACGATTCAAATAAATTATTTCCTGATTTTCCTTATATGATCTTGAGTTTTTGAAACTTTATTATAAGTAACAGTTGTTTCATACCTACTAGTGGAACACACTAGTGATGATTAATAAATTTCAATGAGCCATTGTCTCTTCGATTTAGTATCTTAATGTGAACTCTTAACTATCTACTTCATTTTGAATCATACAAGCAACGTTTCAAGCATAGTTTAACTGTCCTTTTAGTGAAAGTATCGAAAAACAGAAAATATTTTCTATGTAATTATTTTTTTCTCTTCTCAAGTCACTAATTTCTTTTTGTCAGAAAATATAGACATTTCTTAGTTGCACCAACACTTGTTGAAATTCAACGATTTCCAACTCGTGACCCTGACGTGATTTTGAAAATCAAGGACTGCAATCCTACATATCAATTCTTCATTTCCTTCCTCCACTTACGTTTCTAAAGAAATATTGCAATGAATTATTCTGTCTTAGTCACGTTTTCTGAGCTTAACTGTCTGTCACTTTCGCAATCACCTATAAGGCTCGCAATTAATATAACAAGTAGCTGCGTACTGTTCCAGATATTAGCAATAAAGACGTTTTAACTCGAAATCAGGTCGAATTCAGAAATCATGCACAATGAAGCGATGGAAATCGTAAACGGCTTCTGGGCTCGGTTCAAAATGATTGCTTCAATCTGCGTCAGTCTCGCACCACTGGCAAATTGCTAAACCGCAGATCCACAGCAAAGGTCAATATCCCTTCTAATCTCACTGTCACCGATGTCTCAGGTTCGCTCCGAGACACTATGTCCCATTGATCACGAGAGTTTCCCCTGAAACCATAGCCAGTGACCGCGAGAAAAAATTCTGGTAACGTGTAAATCGAGCTTCAGAGTTAGTTTCGCGTCTGGTAAATTGAAAATCGACGTGCACCGGTCTCGCGTTGACTCGATTTTACGTTTCAGTACCTGGCTATCTGGTCTCACGTTGCCGACCCACTTTTTCGACGCGATTACACGTCGAAGCCGCTGAATAATCGAGATTCTCACCGCACGCGGAAACCGTCGAGCATTTCTTTTGGATATCGTTCGTTGCATTATTCAATGAGCGTGGTGCTTTGTTGTTCTGAACTAACAGGATTTCCCTGGTCAAAAGGCAGTTAGTTAACATTTCATTGTGCTGTGTAAGTCTTTTGTTGTCAGACTTTAGCGTAGTTGCTTTAGAAATGACTGGTTGGACAATGTAATGAAGTTTATTTACAAGGAAAGACGAACTTAGTCAATGTGATGCAAAGTTTAAAGGCAAACGTGATAAAATTTATTTTAAAAAGCAACCTGTTTATCCGATCCAATATAATCCATTTGTTGAAGAAATGGAAAATTCTTTGAAAAAAGGGACTACTTGGCTCACTTAATAAAACATAATTAAAAAAGAAGATTGTTTGGGTAATACATCAAACCAGTTTCATAAAAGGTGCTATTTGGTTAACCTAATGAAATTTATTTTAAACAAAACACTATTTGAACAATTCAATAAAGTCAGTATACATAGAAAAGGATGCTCTTCTGTCTACTTGGAGGAACCTATTTAAGGGAAAAAAATATTTTACCGATCTAATGATACTTATTCAAAGGAAATAACCATCTAATCACTTTAATAAAATATATGTAATGGGAAATACTATTTGATCAGATTGCCAGAACTTATATAAAGAAAGAAACAACTTAGTCAATTCAGTAGAACGTACTCTAAAGAAAAGACTGCTTGACCAGTCTAATAGAAAACAGTACATTCGATCAAGTTAATTTGTGCACTGCAAAGTTGTTTAAGTTATCTGTTAAGTTAATTTGAAACATAAGTTACACAAAAATGTCATTCTCCTCCTAATAATTATAGTAAATTGAAAATAATGAAACAATATCCTCAAATCCTTCCAATGATCTTACAATTTTCTATTTGACCTATTTATTTTTCTCATAAATGCATAAAATCCACATTACAACGTCTGGATAAACCACCAATCGTACATTATTCTCTACCAAAGCTCCACTGCAGCATCTTTTATCAATTTCCTCACCTGCATCATTTTCCAATACAAATTGTACTAAATAATCGGCCGAGAAATGTTCAATCACTCAGCAGAATTAACTAGTAAAGGCGACAGAACTGAAGCAACCGATGCACAGGTGGTTAGCAATCGGCACGCTAGCTTCGGCAAACTTCTAGACCAGAGTAGGACATTCACCGGGAGATAAGACGGACAATCAACTGTTGGGCGCAGAGAGGCCGCCGTCAAGCGGAATATTGGCTCTAGACAAGCGCGGACACGCCGCGAAAATTAGCATCTCTGTGGCAACGACGACGGCTTGTCCGATCCGGTCGAACTAGTCCGAGTCCGATTTATCGTGCAGACACCGGAATCACCTGGAAGCACGGTGCTCGACCGACCCAATATCGCCGGTGCACCGGTTCTATCGGCGAGCACAATCGGCCGAGTTGAATGAGGCGGTCGAGATCAACTGATCGAACGCGATGCTCGATTTACGCGGCTCGTGAAACGAGTACCGTTAAGGATCTCGACAGGATAACGGCCGCTGCTTCTGATTAGCGACTGGCTCGCGTCGCGTGAAATTGCGTGCGTAATTTCAGCGCCATCGATCATGGTCGCCACTGGCCGACCGTGTAATTAAGGGCGTGCTGCGATTCGTGAGAAATTTGGGAAATTATATATAGGAGCTTTGATTGATTGACTCATTTCTGACGGCTGAAATAACCCTTTTCAAGTGGGCAATGCTGATTCGAGGTTGAAGACAATCAGAGCTCTATTTTATTGTGTGGTATGGATTTTTGTGCGAAGTGTAATAGGCTTGTGAACGTGGTCCTGTTTTTATAGATTATTGATGGGATGGGATTAAAGTGTAGCATTTTTGTGGTTTGGAGGGTGAAGAGATTTTTCTGAATTTTAGAATTTGTTTTCCGGCATGCTGAAGACTGCAAGATTGATCAATGGTGGCGAAAGGAAAAGAATTCCAATGGTAGAGTAGGATTTATTCACTTAGGCAAAACCTTAAACTGTGATACGAATGATAGCGATAATTTATTTTCAGTCGATTGATTAAATTTTAGTTGCGGTTTTCAGATTGCTTTGTTTCGTATTAAAGGCTTAACTTAAAATGGCAACAATGTCGCATGGATTTTGGTAGATATATTTTAATTACCTTCTCTATTAATCTGTGTATAGTGTCTTAAGAATATTAGTAATAGTTCAGTTGTTCCATACTGTACTTTCCACTATATACATATAGTTCTGATTTAACATTGATCTTAAACTAAGAAAAATTTAAGAAGAATATACTGAAAGAATGAATTTCTGCAAATCCTAGGAGGCATTTCTATGAGAATTATGTTCCCTTTAAGTAAATAGTGATCTGACAAATCAAAGTCATCTTCGAATGCAACTTGCAGCTATGAGTGGTCAAACAGCATTGTAAAAGACTGAGCTATTCTTCTACCCACTTAACCTTCATAATTACATAACTACAAACGAGAACGTGTATCTGTGTATTTAAGCTTTAACAGTGCAAGAACAATTTATTCCAATACAAACCCCGACAGGTAAAATATAAAACTGCAAAATGTTAAAATTATTTATAAATATTATCATATTATTTTCGATTTACTCAAATTATTAAAAGAAGGAAAAAATGTTCACGTAGCATTAAATCTGCCATCACAGATTAAAATAATTAAATGATCATTTTCTATCTTTTTATTTTTAATCTATTGAAATTATGCAGTTGTTTTCAAATTATTCAATAAACTTTGTTTGAGCACATATATAGCAATAAAAGTTGCACAAAATCTCAATAATCTCAGTCTTATCATCTCTAATTGTGTACACAGATCTAAATAAGCTCGATCTCATTATTTTTAATCAAGTTAGTATTATCTTTGTTAATATTTGTTTTCTAATATTGACCTGAAGAAAATATTTCTCAGCATAAAGATCCACAATGCACTCACAAAGAACCTGTCCCAGCACTTTGTCATCGTTCTCGAAGCGCAGACAACTATCAATAAATCTCATCAGAGTGCAATGAAAGGTGGCGAGGACAGGTGTACTTGTTGATGTCGCGACAAGGAAAAGTCACTACCAAGCGTGTAGTCGCGCGTCTTTGACGGTACCGTAACTTCATAGCTCATAGCTCACGGTTCAATGTCCTATTTAAGCGTTCCACGCGGCGGGGACGAGCGATTTCAAGTGGAACAATAAATTCGAGAAGAGAGCACCGGAATGCGCCGGGAATGACAATGCTTGGTCGATTTAAATCGCATGCGTGGGCTCCCCTGATCGTTCGACATCTTCTTCTCTCGTTCTCCAATCCGTACGAGATTGGGATCGGCGAGGGCGAGAGAAGAACAAAGAGACGAAACAAATCAGCCCGATTGTTCCGACGATCTGCGATCACTGTTCGAGACCGTGACTGTTTTACAAGGCTCTGAGCACGCGTGTTTTCAATCCGCCAATGCAGCGTCAGCAATACAGCATGTATTTTTAACCGGTTAGAAAGATGCTTTTGTAGACGATGATGGTATTAACGGGAACGCGTGCTAAGACCGAGAAAAGAACTCGCTACTGACTGGCTAATGATCTTACAAAAGTAGCTATTCATAAGCGATGATCGCGACAGGTTCTAGGGAAACATTGCGCGTTTACAAACCGTGTAGGAAATGCGGTTGTTTTACGGTCCTATTCTGATTAGAGATGTGCAAGATACTGTAACGAAGGCGTACCGTAAAAATCTAAATACAGAAGTTTATCGTAACATTTTATATACTGGAGGTTTTTTGAAATTCATTTCATAGCAACGCGCTGAATCAATGCAGCGAAGCACATTACATGCCTGAAGATTTACAATTTCGTCATGTGTGCACTGCATATATCATTTATATGTATCAAAAATATATAAATGAAATGTGAGAGAATCATTAAAAAAATTTCAGATTGTTCTTATGTTACTCTCTCTTTATGTAATTTATTATTTAAAAATTGTTTCAATGTAGTAATTTCAAACAAAGATATTTTCGAGTTACTCAGAGTTTCTGCTAATTAATTTAAATTGAAGATTGAAGTAGAAGATCAATAGTTAACAAATTTTTTAAAGATTGTTCACAATCTATAACGATTTAATATCGTAATTCAACATTAAATAGGAATTATCGAGTTTCTTTTACATACAGCTCAGTCGTTAAAAAGTTAACTAAGAGGTTTTCGGGTTACAAGAGGTCTGCTTTCGGTAAATATAGTGTCCAGTTTAGTATTTCAATTTAACATGCTGCCTGAATGCCAATGCGCCATATTTACGCTGCTACACCGAGCCGCCATATTTACGCTGCTACGCCGAGCAGCCGCTGCGCTGCTTATTTTGATTTTTCTCTCTCTCTGGTCGTACTTTTATTTCTTTTGTTTTCTTCACTCTTTTTTAATGAAAAAGATATGTTATCATCACTATAGGTCTGGTAAATAAATGTTTTATGGCTCGATTTATACAAGCGCGTGAACATAAGTTTTCTAGTATTTTGATTCTAAAGTATACTAAAAAGACTGCAGAAGCAGTTTGCAAATGTGAACTAATTATTCTTAAATATGTGTGCCGGTTTGTATGACTAAAAATTTATGTAATCTTCCACAATATTGTTATGTTATTGATAGTGCAAAGCAAGATTAATCTCCATTGATCAATTTAGTACAAATTAACATTTATAAATGATTTGAGCATAACATGAACGAATGCATATTACGTAGAAACATCCTTGCGAACACAAAATAAAATACAGAATACGTGAGGTATTTGTATAATTTCGATTACTGATGATATCTCAGATAATATTTTCATTGTGTAACATTCTTAGAGTTGGAAATTACGTCTCGCATCCCCAATTGACTGCAATTGCAGTCAAACAAACAGTTAACAATCATTCGCATTATTGTTCGAATATATGGATAGAATAATTTGTGACGAATAATGAATGATCGTTATTTGAATAAAATGTTCGACTAAAAACAACACATTTGAATAATTATCTTAGATAAATATTTAATCGAAACAATTCAAATAATGCCAAACTTCTGCTAGAATTATAGATTAAACTCTTCAATACCATTGTCCACAAAATATCATGTAAATCATTATAAACTCAGAAGAGTCGTCGATTAAATTTTAATTTAATTTTTTTAATAAACAGGAATGAAATTTCTTAAAGAAAATGGCAAATACCACATACCCAAATAAGAACGTTGAGGGAGCAGAAGACGTGCCTGATGCACGTGTATCCTGTGCGACCCATGGCTCGTTTCTTTGCCCTTTCCTCGCAGCAAAGGGACTGGCAGTGTTTCCTGGAACCACCAAAAATGCACGTCATAATTCCCTTTTCGCAACACAGCTTACGAAACAACTTTCCACCGCGTTTCACGAAAACTTCAATAGACCGTACTGCATTAATTACCAGTTACTTCAGCTCATTAAACTACATGCAATCTAACGAAATGATTTCACAAGATCTACACTTTCTCCATCAACCCCTAACGAGCGCTTTCGATCACCAGATGATCTTGATTCGGTTCAATGACAGAGTCAAGGCGAAAGAAACCGCGTAAATGTTTCGCACACGAACTGCGCATCGCGCCGAATTACCAGGAAACATCTTGACCACCGACGAAACGAGGAGAAGAGCAAGATGAAGAAAAGAAGGAGAGATAGAAGATGAAGATAAAGCGGCATGGAACCGACGGGCACGCGACGATTACGTATTCCGCTCGAGCGTGTTGCCTTGAGCGAACGGAGTCCGCGATTATTTCATTCCGACTTCGTCTCGTTACGGATTCACGGAACCACGGTAAACATAACTATGATCCCAGGTGCCTTGGATGAATATTAACGTGTCGACAACGGCGGCAGGGGAGGTGAGACTTATTTTTGCGGCTGCGGGCCACCCGGGGCGAAAAATCGCTTCCGAAGATACCGAAATTCGTCTACAAACTGTCAAAAATACAGTAATTAACATTCAGAAACCTTCTAAAACAGAATAACTTTTTTAAAACTTAACTAAATGTTTTGAAATTATGGAGATGTTAGAGATTAGTTTACTACGTCATGTCTTCAAAATGTTTTATAAAAATTGCAATTGGTTGAAAGGGAAAAGAAATTAAAAAACTCGCGCTTTCTTAACATTTTTAATTTTTAATTTTTACGAAAATTTGAACAGACAAAAAAAGTTATAAAAATGTATTTTAACACAGTAAACTAGTCTCTCTAACACTTCCAAAAAAAGTAATTTCGTTCAATTTGAAATAAGTTATTCCGTTTTAAAAATTGTTAACTAAATTGACGAAAACGTAATTGTGCAATTTAGAATAAAGTAATCGATAGATAGAGTTTCTGCAACTTGTGACTAACATGAGCAATTATGAAAGATTTTTCAGGAATACATTTTTAAATCTTCGTTTTTCGTAATCGATAAAGAGAATACTTTTTCTGAGTGGAGCTCTACAGTGTGTGATTATTAGACTGCGCATTTTATGCATTTATGAGGAAAATGGAAGAGCGAAACAAAGAACAGTGAAGATATCAGGAAAATATAGAGATCCCATCGAAAGATGAAATACATAAAGATGTATTTCACAATGTATAAATGATCCAAGTAATTTTCATTTTTATATTGGAGGGTTAAATGAAGATCCCTTATTTTGTACAAATGATTCGAGTAATTTTTATTTTGCATAAATAAGTCTAGTAATTACTGTAGCGTAATTGATGGTCGCATAAATGCAGATGTAATAGAAATGAGCAGGCAGAAAGTCGAAAAGCCTCTGAAGAATTAATGAAAACTTGTTTCTTATAACTGTTAAAGAGAGAGAATTCTTATTTTGCCTGGAGATCTGCAGTTTAGTATCTAATTGGAGAATCGCAGAAACACCTGCTGCAATGTGAATGCAAAGGAACACCAGATGCAAAAACAAAATGTATGAAAATCGCTAATAGTCACAGAATAGATTGTTAAATTGTGCCCAAACAGTTCTTGTATAAAACTGCATTTGTGTAATAAAGCTAGAGGATTTTAGAATTGCAGAAGCACCAGATACTCCGCAGTGCACAGAGAGAAGTCGCATTCATTAATGTTCATTTACGTTTATTAACATAAACGTATGTCTGCATGAAATGTATTCACCTTCTTTCTTATTCAAATCTGTCTACCTTACTTATTACAGTTATATTATTTAAAGTAGAGATCCTGTTAACTTCTGGAACGAGAAACAAGGCAAGCATATTTTTTACAATTGTCGAAGAAAAATGACTAAGTTACATTCATTTCATAAATCAAAGTCGAGATAAACGCAACATAAACATATTCTTTACTGTTATCACGGAAGAATATATAAACATGTGTTAATTCTTCAAAAGAAATGCAAGACAAACACAGTATTAATATTTTTCATAAATTTTTCGCACGGAAGCAGCAAAATTTGTCTTCTTTATGAATGTGTCAAATAAACACATGTCACCACAGAAAAATGCCCCCAAAATTTGACTACCATTTGCAAACAAGAAATACAGGAAATCTATATCATGCTTTTTCCACTCATCACAGAAAAATATCCTAGAAATTATCTCAAACACAATTACGCTACCAAATCATCCGAACCTCATTGACAACCAATTAGCAACGCTCCCACAGAACAACATAGAACCCGATTTCGTTGTATGAACTTACACATCAGCTTTTCAGCATGGCGGCTCCCATATCGGTAGCAAAATCGTCGTGTTTAGGTGGCACGAGGCACGATTGTTCGGCACGCGAGCCTCCGAGCGCGAGAACTCGTCGATCCGCTCGTACCGGTTGACTGATCGGCCGATCGAGCGATCCTCGTCGGTTGAGGATCCGTTCCGGTGTGCTCGGAACCGGGTCGACGCGATTGGCTTCGGCCCCATCTGGGCCTTCTAGGTCCCCTAACGGGATACCCGAGCCGACAGAGGGGCCTCTCTCACTCATACGCGATCCCGATATCGTGATCGCGATCGCGTGGGTCCTATCTGACGGTGCTGGAATCGTCACTTTCCTACGAGAGAGACCTCAAGGCCGCCGGAAATCTGCTAGCGTGTTTTCCTCTCGGAAGGATTGCGATTTAACTGCCGACCGACCACTGTCTGACCGCTCCTTCGAGATCCACGCGTATTTTTATTCCGGAGCCTGATCCATCCAAGCACTCGAGATCTCTGCGTCGATCTCTCGATCCTCTTGTTGGAAATCTTGAAGCACGATGCTCAGAACTTTCCGCTGCTATTGATTATGGACTTTATTCTGTCTTCTACGTCATTATCTCATGTTTTCTAGTTTTAATTCTTCGACTGCCGCGGCTCCCATATATGGGTGAAATAGATTGGTTGAAATTGAATTGTTTGATCGGATTTTATAAAAATGATTTTCGAAACGATAAATTTATAGAAAATTAATTCTTACGTCGATCTATACATCTTTGCAACTTTATTAGGATCCGCAAAACGTAAGAATATTTAAAATGTAATTGATGCCGTATAACGGAAATTTTCAATTTTAATTTGATTAAATGATATTTAATGATCACGGTTATTTGTATGTGCTTTGAGAAATTATTAACGATCGTATTGACTGCTCCTATCTTCTTGATTTTTTGCACCTTTCCGTGAACTCAGGTTGATATTTTATTTTCATCTAACCGAATATACAGAACTAATTATGGATAATCCGATCAACCGTATTACCACAGGCTCTAGCTGCTTTCCCCAACATGCCGATTTTTTGTTTGATTCGTTGTAATTTTTTCACACACCGACTGCGAAATAATACTATATAAATGTACATCTTATTTTGATCTATAAAATTAGAATTATTCTTATATAATATATCACTGTACTATTATTGTTAATGTACACAAAGGGCGATAAACCCTTTAGTAAACAAATAACAATAAATAAAAAAAATATGCTTTAATTCTATGAAATTTTTGAGGTTGTTGACGTGATAGTCAAAGGATTAAACAATTGTCATATGATTTCTTTTGTTGTTTGATTAATTAGTTTTGATAGGTGGATTATTGATGTAGTTTTATTTCTTATGGTGATGATTGTTTTCCGTAGTTATGCAAACATTAATAAAACTGATTTGCATTTACTCTATTTATACTGAGAATGTAGTCATTGATTTGTTAGTAATAAGTCCTCGAAAAACAAAGAACGTTTGCGTTCTTACGTTCTGTTATATTTTCCGGTGACTTGATATTCACAAGAGGAAAGAACAAACACTCTATTAAGAGATTCTATTTAAAATCTGCATCACGAGTCTGACCGGTTATTATGCAACAAGTTGTTAAGTTTGCGTAGAAACAGAGTCTACAGACATTTTTATAAATTTCAATGTTTGCGGAAGGCACTATGTGCATTATTCAATATCATTGACAAGAATAGTCGAGGAATAACAAGTATATCATTTGTTAAACATGAATAAGTACAAGTGCAATTTATAAAAATAGTAAAATGAGCATCCTTGATTTCAACTATTTAATATTTACTTTCATTTAGAATTAATACTTAGTTTTGCCATCGCAAGTTTTCACAAGGTTGATATAGCATGCAACCACAGCACCCTATGTTTTTACATATGAAAAATTCAATTCAATCCCTTCAATAATATTGTACACTGTCGTTCCTATATGATTAGCCGTGTATCTCAAAACCGTAGAAAATTACAGCTTTCCAACCCGTCGAATTCATCGATACAGTCGACTGATCACGACAATTATGTCACATTCCTTTCTTCCTCTCGACGACGTAGCCTCACCTGTGCAAAGACAGTCGTCCTCGTGACGCTATCGAACACATTCAACTAGCAATTTGACCTTCTGTTGATTAGACTGGAGATCTTTATGCGCATTTACAATTCTTTGCAAATTCGTAAAATGAAGACGATCATTATACATACTTTTGTTTCTGCTGGACATTCTTGGGTTCTCTTAGAGCAACTAACAAATAAAAGAAATAATTTATTTCTCGTGTGATTCGATAGAGCAACAGTCTTATTCCTAACAAAAGAATAAAAATTTCATAACAAAACAATGAACAAGAGATAGTTCTTCGAACTCTCCATATATACTCTGAAGGCAATAAATATGAATAATGATAACAGTTTAGTTATGTCAACAGAAAAAACCCTTTGTTGCATAGTGTACACTAAAACAGAAGATATAAGAAGATATATAAAGAAAGAAAGAAAGAAAGAAAGAAAGAAAGACAGAAAGAAAGAAAGAAAGAAAGAAAGAAAGAAAGAAAGAAAGAAAGAAAAAGAGAAAGAAAGAAAGAAAGAAAGAAAGAAAGAAAGAAAGAAAGAAAGAAAGAAAGAAAGAAAGAAAGAAAGAAAGAAAGAAAGAAAGAAAGAAAGAAAGAAAGAAAGAAAGAAAGAAAGAAAGAAAGAAAGAAAGAAAGAAAGAAAGAAAGAAAGAAAGAAAGAAAGAAAGAAAGAAAGAAAGAAAGAAAGAAAGAAAGAAAGAAAGAAAGAAAGAAAGAAAGAAAGAAAGAAAGAAAGAAAGAAAGAAAGAAAGAAAGAAAGAAAGAAAGAAAGAAAGAAAGAAAGAAAGAAAGAAAGAAAGAAAGAAAGAAAGAAAGAAAGAAAGAAAGAAAGAAAGAAAGAAAGAAAGAAAGAAAGAAAGAAAGAAAGAAAGAAAGAAAGAAAGAAAGAAAGAAAGAAAGAAAGAAAGAAAGAAAGAAAGAAAGAAAGAAAGAAAGAAAGAAAGAAAGAAAGAAAGAAAGAAAGAAAGAAAGAAAGAAAGAAAGAAAGAAAGAAAGAAAGAAAGAAAGAAAGAAAGAAAGAAAGAAAGAAAAAGTTACTTAATGGACCTTTGCTATTCAATTTTTTTCATACATTTTTTCATACAGACCAGCATTAAAAGGCCTTAACGATGACATCTGCGCCCAACAAAATGTACAACTCGCATAAATTTGTTCGGTTTACGCGCGATAAATCAACATTCATTCTCGAGATTAGAGAGCACGATAGTCGTTAGAAGTTCTCAGAGGACCGTTGACAATTCAGTGAAATCGTTGATCCTAATTACACTGGATCCTCGCACGATGTAGCAGCGAGTGTGATCTGCAAGACGGTGACCAGAGCCCTAATGAGAACGATCTATAGCGCGCAGAGAGTAAAATCGCGGCGGGGATCTTTTATTCAGCGGATCAATGCGCGCGCCTCTAGATCCATTATTTACACGTGCGCGAACCCTGCGATGTTTAATGCATGAAAAAAGTGTGCCGAACACGCCGACAATGTTTACAGAGATCCCCGTTGCCGATACCATGACCGTGCACCATGGATTCCATGGCGGATCTTCACAATTCTAAAAGACACGCCGCGGTTTCCCTGAAACTTCCAGCTGGTGCTATTCTTAACGCTGTCACGTGGAACTTATGGAGTACAATTTAGTATAGTCTCTCCTGCAATAGCTGTGGGACAAATTCGAAATTAGAGAATTACATTATCTGGCAAATGATTGATCCTTGAATTAGTATAAGTCTACGGATCTTCGCGCAAGTATAAAAATGCATGACAAAAGATTTTTTTATTTTATGTTGAACAAAAATTAACTTTTATTCTTGATCTTTTTAATTATACGAAAACAACATGTTTTACATTTCTGTATTGTATTTTAATTATATTTTTATATTGTATTGTTTTATATTTTTGTATGGCATTGTTTCATATCGTTGTGTTTTTTCTGATGTTGCTACTTTGTAATTGACGTTGCAATCTTTCTCATAAATGCATAGAATTCACAGTCTAAGATTTATATTTATAGAAAAAATCGATTTTGTGGAACTTTTGTGAGACGATATTTAATTAGTCCAATTAGCAGTGTGGAAATCTCTTCGTCTCAAGTATGTGTACAAATTAAATAAATCCACAACTTAGTTTTACTTTTAAATTAGAAGATAGAAACAAAACAAACGAATAATTTTTACAAGATATTCTTTACACTAAAAAATGCAGATTTAGTCGTGCTGCGAAGCACCAATCGCAGCACAACTAAATCGTAATTAATTACATCAAATGCAAACGTGATTATTTACCTCCAGAAAGGTCATACAAAAACAAAATTTCCTTTATAATTCTGCGTTTTAAGAAGGCTAGTATAAGCTAATTAATAATCCTAATTTTTTTACATATTTCATTGTTATCAATTGTGGTCTCTAAAGTCTGGTGGTTTCCAAAGTCAACTAGCCGGAGTGTCTCGATTAATCAGGATTAGATAATATTGATTCGCCTTATCACAGTACGAGATACAATTTCCAGCGTATCGAGATTGAGCTCGTGGACTACAGAAACTGTTCAATCTCCGGATAAATCAGTTAACGCATCCAACGACTATGATAACCGCCAGAGAACTGCAGCAGGTCTTTAACCTTTTCTTACGTGAGACTACCGCGCCGAATCCACGATTTCACGAGACAATTAAATCTTGAATTACCGTGAGGAACTTTATCGACTTATCCTGCCTGTGGCCTTCATAGGTTATTTCGTTTTCTCTTTCACTTTCTTCCAGGAATAGATTGTTGAATTCGTTTTCTCTTCATAAGCTGTTCATCTTTATTTCTAGTCCATTTGTACGCATTTATCAGATCTGATTAGTATATGTCACGTGCTCATTAATACACATACGTATATCCAACCTTTGGTACGTAATGCCATTACACTTATTCTTTTGTTTCTAATTAAAAGCGAAGTTGGCGAGGAATTGCTGTAAGCGTCGATTGCAGTGAATTTTAATGAATGTGAATTTTGATTGGAATTTGCGAAGCAAAAATATGTAAAGAACAAAAGACTTCAACTAAACACGTGAACTACTGATCTACGAACTGATGTATCCGTCTTTATTGACCATTACCGGTAATGGAATAACGAGATTCCTTCTTATTTTATCGTAGAATTATATATTAAATTTTTAC